ACAGACGATAACGGAAAAAGTCTTATCCAAAATTTATTATCATAATATTAGTTGAAGTATGATCAAATAGCATAGAAAAATAGAGCATTCTTTTCTCTATCAGGCTTATATAGAAAGAAAGTTTTTTTTAAGCTTACTATATGGCTATGTAACGTCGTGATCAGAACTTTTGGTACACCCTAAGTATGTTGAGTTAGTCTAGATACCCTGAAAAACTCAGTCCTATAGATCTTAGTTCCGCTAAGTTATTACTGAAAAACCAGTGTTTACGATCTCACACTTTGTAGAGGATTCTTCAGGCTACAAAATCTATGTGCAAAGTTTTTCCTGCACATGCTTAGATTTTTCAAAAAACTTGAGTTTATTCGTTATTAGCGACCGGAGTAACGAAAAATTCTCTTGTAACTGAATGAAAAGTTCAAAATTCAATTCTAAAAATTACAAATTCTTCTTGACGATCGCGAGATGATAGCAAAACAGAAAGCCTTGTCTTAGGACAAGAACAGACTTTTAGGAAAACTCATTTCGAAAAGGCAATCTTTTCTGAGTTATTTGCTAATTCCGTTTTAATTAATTAACTAATTAAGCTTAGTTAGGTGTAGGCTGAAAGAGCCAATATTTTTCCATATATTTATGGGAAAAGGATTTGTTCAAAAAAATAACTTTTATAAAGAGTCAAAGTCAAATTGAAGATAGTCATGTCCTGTTTTCGCTGATTTTTGTCCGTATAATGTATAAATGTAGAGTTCTTATCTAATGATCGATTTAATTAAATCAAGGGCTTAGCATGAAAATTGTTTTCGATAATATTGAAAAGGTTTTCAAAAAGACAAAGACTATTTTGGACACAGTGTAAGTTGTCTGATCCTACATATATGTACAAGTTATAAGAATTGTTGCAAAAGATTCTACTAAATAATTAATGAGATCTTCATTGGCATAAATTCAAAAAAAGCTTATTTATCCTGGATCTGCCCTGCTCATTATAAGCTATAGGTCTTCTCAGGTAGTTTGTGTATTGTTGTTTTTTTTTTGACATACTAATATTATAATGATAAATAAGAATCAAGGAAAAATGAGAACTTATGTAAGATCATCATAACAAAAACGATAAAAACAATAATTCCGTGTCAGAAAACAGAATTTTTTTATATTTTTTTGTAACTAAATCGATAAATCATATCTATAAAAATTAATAAATACTTTCAAATAATTTTCTAGAGATTTTGGTATTCGTGGCGTTGCTTTACGTTTATTACATAAACTTTTACCTAAATTAACACATGAACAATTATATGAAATAGCACAAATATTATATGTTGATTGTCCAAATGAATATCAAATGTGGACACTTGAAATTTATAAATGGATGTATGATTATATAACAAATTATTTAACAAAAGAAATAAAAACATCCATAACACCATTATCAGAAATATTTTATCATCATGTTCGTGTACAATTACTACAATTATTATCAAGTAAAAATGATATACGTGTTAATTGTCGAAATTTTTGGTGTGATTCAAAACGTTTAAGTATATCATCACATCATCGTCTTATGGTATTAGTTGATCAATTATATTCAATTAAAACTGAAAATGAATATTTAAATTATTGTACAAATTTTCTTCTTGAACGTACACCACATAATCCTGATTATAATCATCTTATATTTGAAAATCCACTTGATAAATGTTTATTTCAAGAATTTCCCTTAGCATGTAATTGGCGTCAACGTCATCATACATATATGACACCTTTATTTACATTACAATCACAATCCATCATTGATCCATCAATATCAACAACAACAAATTTAATAACTATGGATCCTATTCAATTTATACAAACATTAAGTGACAATAATAATAATAATAATGCAGATCAACAAC